TCTGGAGAGTTAAATATTTCTAGATCTCTTAAGTTGTCATAGTACACGAAGTATAAGATTAAAGGTGTATAAAAAGTCATTTCATTTGATAATTAAGACAGTCTTGCAAATATATTTAACCAAGTTCCAAAACTGAATCAATAAGAGAAATGGATTAAAAAAATAAAACAAGGGGTACCTGGCTGGCTCAGTTGGAAGAACGTGTGGCTTTTGATATTGGGAGTCATGAATTTGAGCCCCATATTGGGTATGGAGATTATTTAAATAAATAAACTTTAAAAAATAAAATGAAATGAAACAAACAAATGACACCCAAATAACAAAAAGCATAATACCTGGTACATTAAAAAATGCCTAATCAATATTTGTGGATGAGCAAATGGATAAAAAGATTTTATTGCTTTCATTTTTCAAGTTCCCTCATAGTCTTTGAATGCATATTTTATACGCAACAATAATGTGTATATAGAATTTGTTACTTTGCTTTTTGCACTTGAATTATAGTGTCAATATTTTCCCATATCATTATAAAATATGACTATACCCTTTTAAAGTACCTATTGAGTTACAACACTTCTGAGATTCCCAAATGACTGTTAACCAGGGTGAGCCTCAAATTGGGAGTCTTCCCTCATTAAGGAATAAAATACAAAAACATATTACTTTAAAAAATTTTACAAAATAATGAAAAAATATCTAACTCTTTCAAAAGGTCATTTCTAGGAATTTGGAGGGGCCTGTGCACTGAAGGGCCCTGAACCTTCAGTAGCTTCAGAGTATACCCTGCCTCTATTAATAACAGACACCATCTTCACAGTGGTTGTGATACAGCATGAATGTTTTTTCAGAAGTTTACTAAAGTTTTAGAAATGTATATTACGGGGCACCTGGGTGGCTCAGTGGGTTAAAGCCTCTGCCTTCGGCTCCGGTCATGGTCCCAGGGTCCTGGGATCAAGCCCGGCATCAGGCTTTCTGCTCAGCAGGGAGACTGCTTCCACCTCCCTCTCTCTGCCTGCCTCTCTGCCTACTTGTGAGCTCTGTCTGTCAAATAAATGGATAAAATCTTGAAAGAAAGAAAGAAAGAAAGAAAGAAAGAAAGAAAGAAAGAAAGAAAGAAATGTATATCACTTTGATAGTGTTAGAAATTCTTTCTATCCAGCCAATCTGGCATCTATTTCAGGCCCTGTTATAAACTTGGTGGCTTTCAGTCATAAGCAATTCTCTTAACTAATTCAGGCCTCAAATTCCTTATCTCAAATTCCTTATCAAACAGGCTTAGTATCTATCTTAAAAAGTTACAAATGGGGGCACCTGGGTGGCTCAGAGGGTTAAGCCTCTGCCTTCGGCTCCGGTCATGATCTCAGGGTCCTGGGATCGAGCCCCGCATCGGGCTCTCTGCTCAGCAGGGAGCCTGCTTCTCCCCCTCTCTCTCTGCCTGCCTCTCTGCCTACTTGTGATCTATCTCTGTCAAATAAATAAATAAAATATTTTAAAAAAAGTTACAAATGAAAACAAAGATAAAATACTTGGTACAGTTCCTGACACATAGTAAATGCTCAATAAATATTAACAACTAGGATTATAGCAATAGTTAAAACACTAACCTACTTCCTATCACCATTAAAACTTCCCACACTGGGGGTGCCTGGGTGGCTCAGGTAGTTGGGTGTCTGCTTTCAGTGTGGGTGGGGATCCCAGGGTCCTGGGATTGGTCCCACCTTGGGCTTCCTGTTTGGCGGGAGGCCTGCTTCTCCCTCTCCCTCTGCTGCTCCCTTTTTTGTGCTCTCACTCTGTCAAATAAAGAAATAAATAAAATCTTTAAGAGAAAAAAACAAAAAACAAAAAACTTCCCACATTGAATGTAGGTAAAATAAGCTGTAAAATGAATTTCAAAGGATTGTACAGATTCAATTTTTTAATAAATTTTTAAAAATGTTATGAAAAGTAATAACTACATAACAGAACACTTGGAAAATAGAGAAAAGGGGGACAAAAGCATCCGTAATTTTACCAGACTTGTTATAGTTTCCTGATGTGTTTTTCTCCTTAGCGCAGATGCTATTTAAAAAATGTCTGAAATAGGGGCGCCTGGGTGGCTCAGTGGGTTAGGGCCTCTGCCTTCGGCTGAGGTCATGATCCCAGGGTCCTGGGATAGAGCCCAGCATCATTGGGCTCTCTGCTCAGTGGGGAGCCTGCTTCCCCCTGTCTTTCTGCCTGCCTCTCTGCCTGCTTGTGATCTCTGTCTGTCAAGTAAATAAATAAAATCTTTAAAAAGAAATGCTTGAAATAAGAATACCCAATTATTCTCTTTTCACAGAGGTTTGATATTATGGCATCATTGTTTTCAAATACATGGCACATTTCAAACATTTTATATAAAACTTTTGGAAAAATCAGATGGAAGAAAAGGTACATATTCTCATCCTGTATTTCCATACTTATTTTTAAATATTCACGTTTTACAAGGTTATGATGGTAGCATACATAGAATTTAATATTCTGCATTTTTTCTTATGTCATATCACAAGCCTTTCTCCATGCTGCTACATGCTACTAAGGCAATATTCATAGTAACTAAAGCACCTGAAGCCAAATTTCCTAAAATTCATTCAATTGTATGTGAAGAAAGTAAGGTAGGCTAAGGTGTGGTAAGTCAGAAACTCAGAGTAAATGCTTTTGGTTTGCCTGCAACTGTAATGTAGAAAAGGGAGAAACAGAAGTTAGAACTCAGGAATTCTTGCCTTCCAACTAAATGTCTAAGTCAGGAAAGGAATCTAAAACCCTATCAACATAATTCTAACTTGTACATGCACTTTTATTTCTTTTTCAGTAGATGAGAAAGTGGTGGAATACTACTCAATGGGAAAGACTTATTTGTCACAATGTTATTATAGGGGTTTAAGTTCTCAAAATTAGGTAAATGTACTCCCCATCATACCCTAAATGGGTCTTTCTTCAGATTTTAGCAAGGCGACACAAATCCTTCACTATAAAGAACAAGCCAATATCTGGTCATGGTTGTCTGAATTCCCCGACATATGCTGTCGTAAAAAGGCTTTTACCTTTTAATTCTGCTTTTGTGTTGATATTCACTAATTTCAGAGCACAGATTTTTCCCTTAAAGCTTCTTTGTTCCTTTAATATTGTCCTGCCATAATAAATCAAGCCATTTTATTTATTTATTTATTTATTTAGGATGTTTATTTATTTATTTTCCAAAAGATTTTATTTATTTATTTGGGAGAGAGAGACACAGTGAGAGAGGGAATACAAGCAGCGGGGAGTGGGAGAGGGAAAAGCAGGCTTCCCACTGAGCAGGGAGCACTATCCCAGGACCAGGGATCATGACCAGAGCCGAGAGCAGACGCCTAAGGAATGAGCCACCCAGGCACCCCAGAGTTTTATTTTTAAATAATCTTCACACCCAACGTGGGTCTCAAGCTCACAACCTAAGGTAAAGTGTTACATGTCACTGACAGAGCCAGCCAGGTACTCCTGGAGCCACATTTTAAAAACTGTAAAATATACACTGAGGAAACAATCCGTAGGTCCATTGACAAATGAATGGATAAACAATATGGGGCATATACATACAATGGACTATCATTCAGCTTTAAAACTGAAGGAAAATTTGATACATACTACAATACAGTGAACCTGGAAGATGGGTTAAGTGAAATAAGCCAGACACAAAAGATTAGATATTGTATCGTTTGACTAGTATGAGGTATCACAGAGACAGAAAATATTGGTTAAAAGGGAATGTGGGGAAGGAGAAAAGGGGAATTATGGTTTACTGGGTGCAGAGTTTCAGTTTGGGATGTAGAAGTCCTGGAGATGCACAGTGGTGATGGTTGCACAACAATATGAATGTACTTACTGCCACCGTATACTTAAAAATTGTAAATTTAAAAAAATCCCCCTAATGTAACATATACTGAAAATAGTGTAATATATATATGCATACTCGGTTTAAGAAGTAATTCTAAAGCAAATACATGTGTCATTACTATCTAGCTCAAGAAATAAAATATTATCAAAGGGTACTCCTGTGCCCTTCCCCAACACAACCCTTCTCTTTCTTCCTGAGTAATCACTCTCACTCACAATGTTCCTAACATTTGATTTTAAAAAATCAGGCTGTGATGTGATAATGCAGAATAAATTAAACCAACATTACAAGAGCAAGAGTATTTAAATTCCATTATTTTCCATACATGCAAATTTTTTTTTTAACTTAGTAACTTTTAAAGTGCCCTTTCGCTCTTGAAACTTCATATTCTACAATTTATCTTGGTTCTATAGTTGACCTCACCTGGGTTAACAACAACAACAACAACAACAACAAAACTACTTCACTGTAGATTGTAGATTTTCATTCCTCCCGCTCTCCCTTGCCTCCAACTACAAAGAAACAATGATTTAAACCCTTTGTGCCCTCTTAGAAAATTACACAGATACCCCATTGTGGAACCCTATAATCCCTTCGTGGAAAGGAAGAGATTAGCATATGAATACAAAGCAAAATGAATCCAGAATACAAAATGATCTACGGGATTGTGAAGCGCTTGTGTTCTTTAAAAAAAATGTATTTATTTCCTCTTTTTGTATTGCCCCTTTAGTGGTCTCAGGGTTAAGGGAACTGAGCTTCTCCTCTGGTTACCCGGAAAAGGATTAAAAAAAAAAGCGAACAGATTCTAGGAGGTGCAAAACCCAACAGATGGCTCCCCGAGCCAGTGGAATTGCCAGTGGAATCGCCAGTGGAATCTGCTACACTCGACGTGAGTTTGCTTGCGGGTAAGGAGTGTAGAAAGTGCCGTTCGCAGACTGCGCGGTGAAGGAGAGAAAGCGACAGAAGAGAGAGCCATACTGCTGACGTTGAAGGCCCGGCCCTGTGAGGTTGCACAGGGTAAGTGGCGTTGGCCAGGAGGCAGTGGCGAAGGGGAAGGAAAGAGGATTTGGGCTAGGGGCGGGGCCTGTGGCCCAGCGTGGCTCCTGATTGCTGGAGCGTCGCTGCCAATCTCGCAGGATCGCTCGGTTAACCAGTGCGCTGGCTAGACGCGCTCAGATATACTGAGTGAGCCCCAAGAAGCAGTCTCAGATCCTGACGGTGCAGCAGCCCGCAGCCTCAGCCAGGGAGTCCCAGCCGCTTTCAATGGAGGAGAAGCCCGGCCAGCCACAGCCTCAGCACCATCACAGCCACCACCATCCGCACCATCACCCCCAGCAGCAGCAGCAGCAGCAGCAGCCGCACCACCACCACCATTATTATTTCTACAACCACAGCCACAACCACCATCACCACCACCATCACCAGCAGCCTCACCAATACCTGCAGCATGGAGCCGAGGGCAGCCCCAAGGCCCAGCCGAAGGCGCTGAAACATGAGCAGAAACACGCCCTCCAGCAGCACCAGGAAACGCCGAAGAAGAAAACAGGTCTGGGAGGGAGGACGAGTGGGGGAAGGGGAATGGGGGTGGGGGGTAGGGGAGATGGGGGTGGGGCTGGATGTGGAAAGCGCGATCGCGGTCGGAGTGGTGTGTGTGCGTGTGTGTTTGTGTGTCTCTGTGACCTGCGGGTCTGGGGAAGCCCCCTTCCATTCTTCCAAAGCCCGGGCTGGGCCGCGGGGTTTGCAGCGCCCTCTCCTTCCCCTCAACACGGGAGAGGCCCAACCAGGCCAGTGTGACCTTCCCGGCCCCCGCCAGGGCTGGAGGGAGACCCGGAGGGTCGGCCTTAGAAGTCTAGCCTTATTATATCTTTCCCGTTTACCTTCCTGAGGCCCCGGAGGAACCTTAATCTTGTGGCCCTGAGTTGGGGTGACCACAGCTCCCCCCGCCAGAAGCCTTCGGGGTGTAGCTCAAGAAGGCCTGGCGAATCCCGACTCGGGTGATGTCGCGAGACCCTTTTGCAGGCGGCGAGGCGAGGGTAGGTGGGCAGAGTTGAGGAAGTGTCCTCCCTCACTCGCCACCCCAAGCCCACCTGTGGCCTTGGGGTTCCCCGTCTGGGGGGGCGGCCGGGACCCCTCGTCTCCCGAGTCATTTGCACCTCTAGATGCCCCCTCTTGGGCAGCAGATCCCGCAGTCTACCCTCACGGCTCCTCGCGAGGCCGGCGCCCCGGGCCCGCTCCCCCCAGAGCCGGCGCGGCTGGAATGTTCTCTCCTCCTCGCGGGGCCGCTTCCTGTCCGCCATGTTGGAAGCCGATTCCTGTCACCGACTCCGGCCCACTGAGGAGCGGAGGGGGAAGGGTGTCGAGGGGGCTCGGCGCGGCGGAGCTGGGGGTCTCGGGATCCCCACCCGCGGCCGCCTTGCCCCCCCGCACTGCGGGGGCGCCGTCGCCCCCGGCCCTTGGCCGCCCCTCCCCCCGTCGCCGGCCGGGTTGTGTAACCCGGTGGCGGCCGCGCGGCCCCGGGCGGGTCCCTGGGGTGAGGGGCGGGGGCGGTTGGGGTGGGGGAGGGAAGCGGCCACGAGGGGAGCGGCCTGCACCGGGCCCCGCGCGCCGGCGGCCGCGTTTCCCGCTCCCGGGTGCGGCGGGAGGCGCGGGCGGTCCGGGAGAGGAGCCGGCCTCGAAGTGGAGCCAGGAGCAGGAGGCCGCGGGCGGCGGCCGCGGCACTCCTTGGGGCAGGAGGGCTAGGGGGGTACATTTTGGGTAGAGGCGGTGCCTGAAGGCCGGGTGGGGTACCCAGCGGGAACCAGGCTCCCCGGTCACGAGTTTTTCTGCCACAGGAACCTCGTCTCCTGCCAGGTTCGCTCACGACTCCGCCTCTCAGGCTTTCACTTGGGCCCTTTCCTTCTAACAGCTCATTTTTTACAAAAAAACCTGGTTTAGCTCTCTCAAGCCCCCCAGCATTTACTTTCTGGGCTTGGGTGGTGATTTTGAGGAGCGAGATTAGAAAAATGATTGGATGGGGTAGCGGGCGAGGTTTTTTTTTTTGACCCCTGTTTCTTGTCCTTAAAGGAGAAACGAGATGGTTCATCCATGCGGTTGGTTCACTACCATCTTGCCTTGGACGAGGCTTTTTTCCATGTAAAAAGGAAAGGTGTTTTCCTATTTTCAAATTGATGCCGAGCCCCAAACTCTTGATTTGAACAATGTTAAATTGAGGGTAAAAGTCATTTTAGAAAACATTTTAGAAGAAATGAACTTTAAAAGTTTGTGACCAGGCAGATTTTTACAAATTAAAGGTTCTTTATAAATTGGAAGAGAAATGAAGGGAATGGTAAGAAAATGGATGTTAAACCCAGCATATCAGATGTGATACAAACAGTTACTGAGAGCTGGAGAAAAATTACTGTTCTGTTGAAGATTAATGTAATTTGAAGACTGAAATTGGAATGCCAGATTTTCCACTTTTGGGGGTAGGGACATCAGGTGTGCAGTAGAAATGAACATATACGTCTATTGCGAATTAATCTTAACGGATTGGAACAGTTTGAAAACTATCAGAAGATACACATCACTAAATGTTTTAACCTTAGGTCTTTTTCAGTTTAGAGGAAAGAAAATCTTTATCATGGTTGCTTGGAATATAAAGCAGTATTACTGTTCAGATTGGAAAATTTTATTTAGTTGGTCAGGTATTAATATACACCACCCCTGCAGGAATCGTCTCTACATACAGAAGAGCCCCTGAACCATTCAGCCTCCGGCATTCTTCAAAGTAGTATGTCTAATCCAGGAAGAGGATAAAGAGGGGAAACTGGGCTTAGCGATTTTGAGAGAATGTAAACAATTTGGGATGAACAGTTTTCCATGTGTGGCCTGGTCACGGTACTGTGGCGTCAACATGTATAATGCTAATTTACTAAGAAAACCGAGCATTTTTGAAATGTGTCTGTAATATGTTGAAGTGGGCTTTTATGACCCATTACCCACAAATCTATAAAGAGGAACCCGTTTTCATTTTCCAGAAGAGGGCGCAAGAGAGGGCCAAATGTGTTCAGTAATTTGGGTTTCTAATCCAAAAGCTAGATTTATTAGGACTGAAGTTTTGCAGAGTCCATTTAAAATAGGGTTAGATGCTTTAGCATGGCAGACCTGAATAGTGAAAGTGCAAAGAGCCCTTTGATTTCTCTCAGTGATTCTGTGGTATTTGCATGTTTTTCTTAAATACCTAAGTTTTTAAAAGAAAATGTCTCTTACACACTTTGTGTAAATTTCTATAGAAAAAAATTTTAAAGATTTTATTTGAGAGAGAAAGAGAGCATGATGGGGTTGGGGGGCTGCTGAGGGAGAGGAAGAAGCAGTCTCCCCACTAGACCAGGGCTCTGAGATCATGACCTGAGCATAAGGCAGATGCTTAACTGACTGAACCACCCAGGTGCCCCTAAAAAAAAAAATTCAGTTAAATGAGAAATGTTTTTTGTTACTAAAACTTGGGAGTGGAAGTATAGTGTTTTTTGAGCTGTTAATAAATTGTTAGGTGATTCCTGATACTGGAACCACTAAATATTAGTAATTTCAGGAAAAACTATTCTGGTTCACTTAAAAGTCTTGGCTTTGGTTCAGGTTAGTTTGGACATTGAAATTTTTTTTTCTTAAGATTGCTTACCTTTGAGAAAGTTATGACTAATAGGCCCAAGAGTACAAAACCTTTGTTTGGCCTGTTAGCATGAAATGGTGTATGTAGTGTTTTTTTTTTGTTTTGTTTTGTTTCTTTGTTTTGTTTTAGTCTAGGGGTACACAGGTAAACTTGGATCTGTTAAAAACGATGAGAGTCTCTATTTAGGAACTTGCTGCTTTTCTAAAGAAAAAAAAAAAAGAAACTTTCAGAAAACATCCTAAGGAATGGTCTCTTCTTTACTAGTAGTTTCATAGTTAGAATTTTTCCACCAAAAGTTTGATTTGATTGGCTATCCAAAAAACACATTCAGCAGTCAAAAAAATTTAAATACAATTCTGCAAAAGAGCTTTAACAAAATAAATTTTTTGTGTTACAAGTTTTGTGCCACTGAATCTTAGGAACGATTATAGTCTTGAGTTATTTTCTGAAAGTTAATACAGTAGGAGAAAATGCCTTTGTTCATTCGTAGCATCCTTATCTTTTTCTCTGATACGGAATGAGTGCCTTAAAATTACAGTAAATCCTGCTGTGCATCTTCCCAGACTGTTCTATTCCACATCAAATTATTTTAAAACAATGGTTCTCACACTTGGGGGGGGGAAAAAACAAGGGGTCCCTGGGTGGCTCAGTGGGTTAAAGCCTCTGCCTTCGGCTTAGGTCATGATCCCACAATCCCGATAGAGCAGGTCATGATGCCAGAGTCCTGGGATCGAGCCCCGCATTGGGCTCTCTGCTCAGCAGGGAGCCCACTTCCCTCCCTCTCTCTGCCTGCCTCTCTGCCTACTTGTGATCTGTCTCTGTCAAATAAATAAATAAAATCTTTAAAAAACAAAAACAAAAAACCTTAGATCCCTTATGCTTTTAAAATTCACAAAGAGCTTTTACTGTGGGTTATGTATCTATTGATGTTTACTGTATTGGGAATTAAAACAATTTCAAAACAAGAATATACAGCTCACATTCCTTTTAGCCTTCACAGGCTAAAGACCCACAAGAATGAATGAATAAAAGTGACAAAGGCAAATTACTTAGTATTCTGATTGGATGCCCCTCCCCCAGTCCCCTAAAAAACTCCCTTAAATGAATTTGTGTTTATCCTTCTGTTATGTATCTGTTTCTAATTACTTGACCTCAAAATGCTTTTGGGAACATTTCATAGAAAGGTGGATAACTAATATCACTGTTTAACTGGTAAGGAAATGGGAGAAAACTGTTGTTAGCCTAGTTAAATAACGTATGGTAATAAACTGTTTATGGCAGTTGAAAGTCTGAAACTTGAACACCATAACACGTTTTAAAATTAAATACCTTTCAAGGTTCCTGGGTGGCTGTCATTAGATATCTGTCTTTGGCTCAGGTCATGATCGGGGTTCTGGGAACAAGCCCCACATTAGGCTCCCTGCTCAGCGGGAAGCCTGCTTCTTCCTCGCCCACTTACCTGCTTGTGTTCCCTCTAGCTGTATCTCTCTGTCAAATAAATAAATAAAATCTTTAAAAATAAATAAGTTAAATAACTTGCGTTGTAGTTTTGTTAGTAAATAATACTGCATCACTTGTAGGCAGTATTACATAGTAATAGGAAACTATGTCATAGGCAGGCTGTAGTTCACATTTCCAGTTCTTTACTTTGTGACTTGGGCAAGTTAATTTCTCTGAGAGTCTTCTTACCCAGATATAAAATGAAGAAAATGTATCTTAAAAGAGTTAGAAACATTTGGTTTCATACATAAATAGTATGATCTAATGTCTGGGAAATGTTAAAATAAATTCAAGACTAGTGTAGAAAAATTTCACAAGTATTAGATTTTTCTTTAGCAGAATGCAGTAGAAACTGCTTATGGTGACTACCAGCCATAGAAAGGGATATATATATATACATATATATATATATGTGTGTGTGTGTGTGTGTGTGTATATACATATATATATATTTTTTAAGATTTTATTTATTTGAGAGAGAGCGCGAGAGAGCACGAGCAGCGGGGAGGGGTAGACAGTTGTCAGGGGAGAAATAGACTCCTTGCTGAACAAGGAGCCTGATGATGTGGGGCTCAATCCCAGGACCCTGAGATCAGGGCCTGAGTTAAGGCAGATGTTTAACTGAGCCACCCAGGTGGCCCTAGAAAGAGATTTTTAAATTTTACTGTAATACATACAATTAATGTATCAATATAACTTGATTTTTGCCCAGAGGGTAGCTCTGCTCTTAATTGTAAAGGAAATTTTACAACAGCCTGTGAGAACAATGGGTAAGTTGATTGTTAGATGAGAGAGTATGGCATACAGTTTAAGAGGTCTTGTTCTTCCTGACCTCAGACTTTGGTTTGAATTCCAGCTTGGTTCAGTCTCTTGCTTGGTAGACTTTACGGGGCTCACAGGTGTTTTCTCGTAGTTGTGAAATAATAACAGATAGTCAAGCTAATGCTCCTAGCATAGTGTCTTTAAATGTTAGGTACTGTTGGGGTGCCTGGGTGGCTCAGTGAGTTAAAGCCTCTGCCTTCAGCTCAAGTCCTGATCCCAGAGTCCTGGGATCAAGCCCCTCATTGGGCTCTGTGCTCAGCGATAAGCCTGCTTCTCTTCCTCTCTCTCTCTTTCTCTTTCTCTGCCTGCCTCTCTGCCTACTTGTGATCTCTGTCTGTCAAATAAATAAATAAAATCTTTAAAAAAAAAAAAAAGTTAGGTACTGTTGTAATCTGTATATTGTAATTGTTTAAAAAAAAACCTTTTTTTTCCCCCTCTAGGCTATGGTGAACTAAACGGTAATGCTGGAGAAAGAGAAATATCTTTAAAGAGCCTGGGTTCTGATGAAGCTACCAGCCCTATTTCCAGGGTCCTCAATGGCAACCAACAAATTGTAGACACTAATCTGAAGCAGACTGTAAAGGCCAGCACCTTTGGGAAAGCAGGAATTAAAACCAGGAATTTCATGCAGAAAAACAGTATGGACAAAAAGAATGGGAAATCTTATGAAAATAAATCTGGAGAGAACCAGTCTGTAGACAAGACTGATACAGTAGCAATTCCAAATGGTGTTGTAACAAATAATTCTGGCTATATTACTAATGGTTATATGGGCAAAGGAGCAGATAACGATGGTAGTGGATCTGAGAGCGGATATACCACTCCTAAAAAAAGGAAAGCTAGGCGCAATAGTGCCAAGGGTTGTGAAAACCTTAATTTAGTTCAGGACAAAATAATGCAACAAGAGACCAGTGTCCCAACCTTAAAACAGGGACTTGAAACTTTCAAGCCTGACTACAGTGAACAAAAGGGAAATCGAGTAGATGGTTCGAAGCCCATTTGGAAGTATGAAACTGGGCCTGGAGGAACAAATCGAGGAAAACCTGCTGTGGGTGATATGCTCCGGAAAAGTTCTGATATTAAACCTGGTGTGAGCAACAAAAAGTTTGATGATCGGCCCAAAGGAAAGCATGCTTCTGCTGTTACCTCCAAAGAGGACTCGTGGACCCTATTTAAACCACCCCCCGTTTTTCCAGTGGACAATAGCAGCGCTAAAATAGTTCCTAAAATAAGTTATGCAAGCAAAGTTAAGGAAAACCTCAACAAAACTGTACAGAATTCTTCTGTGTCGCCATCTTCATCTTCATCCTCTTCGTCATCTACTGGGGAAACTCAGACCCAATCTTCAAGTCGGTTATCCCAGGTCCCTATGTCAGCGCTGAAATCTGTTACTTCGGCCAACTTTTCTAATGGGCCTGTTTTAGCAGGGACTGATGCAAGTGTGTATTCTCCAGGGGGTCAGCCACTGCTAACTACTGCTGCTAATACTCTAACACCCATCTCTTCTGGGACTGATTCAGTTCTCCAGGACATGAGTCTGACTTCAGCAGCTGTTGAACAAATTAAATCTAGCCTTTTTATCTATCCTTCAAATATGCAAACTGTGCTCTTGAGCACAGCACAAGTGGATCTGCCCTCTCAAACAGATCAGCAAAACCTGGGGGATATCTTCCAGAATCAGTGGGGTTTATCATTTATAAATGAGCCCAGTGCTGGCCCTGAGACTGTTATTGGGAAGTCATCAGATCATAAAGTGATGGAGGTGACATTTCAAGGGGAATATCCTGCCACTTTGGTTCCACAGGGTGCTGAAATAATCCCCTCAGGAACTGAGCATCCTGTGTTTCCCAAGGCTTATGAGCTGGAAAAACGGACTAGTCCTCAAGTTCTGGGTAGCATTCTAAAATCTGGGACTACTAGTGAGAGTGGAGCCTTATCCTTGGAACCCAGTCATATAGGTGACCTGCAAAAAGCAGACACCAGTAGTCAAGGTGCTTTAGTGTTTCTCTCAAAGGACTACGAGATAGAAAATCAAAATCCTCTGGCGTCTCCTACGAACACTTTGTTAGGCTCCGCCAAAGAACAGAGATACCAGAGAGGCCTAGAAAGAAATGATAGCTGGGGTTCTTTTGACCTGAGGGCTGCTATTGTATATCACACTAAAGGTAACTCGTTTTTTCTTATATAAAGATTCTTACTGGTCGATTTAACTTACATTTATTAGCTGGTGTATTAAGGGTGAATTTTGGAAATTACTATGAGATTGTTTAAGAATTTGTGAACTAAGTTGACAGTAACAGTGGATAAAGCTGCTGATAAACTAATTTAGGGTCTTTGGCAATAGTACTATTTTGAAGAAATTTTTTTTCAACTTAAAAGCATTTAAAAATATATATATATACAAGTGTATTTGACTTCCTACACTTAGTTCAAAGAGTGAAGAAGGGTGGGGTTGTGCCTAAAGGGATGACATATTTTCTCTTGGGTTGTTTTTAAAATTTTTCTTTGAACAGATGTTCCCTCTCCTTTGCTTTTTATATCATAACGCTTCTTTATTAGTGAGCTCACTTGATAGTTCTAATACGTGTAAAATGAGTAGGAGCAGTGTTTTTGAGGAGGAGTCCAAAAAGATGGTGTGTCAAACTATTTTTTCTTTTACACAAAGGAATAATGGGTGCTGAATGGTAACTGGAAAATAATTTTGATAACTGCAACAGCAAGCCCAGTTAGCATTGTAGAACCAGGCACTTGGAGTCTGTACTTTTCATAGCCCTGAAGCCTGTGTTTAAAAAAGGAATCAGATATCTTTCAAGTTCCATGCCCATAACTTTTTTTAGAATATGGTTTCTTGGTGTCTTATTTTAAATTAAAATTCATTTTTTTCAGAGAGAGAGCGAAGGTGAGGAGGGGCAGAGGGAGAGGGAGATACACCGACTCCCTGCAGGGAGTCCACCTCTGGGCTTAGCAGGACCCTGAGATCATTATCTGAGCTGAAATCCGGAGTCTGGTGCTTATCTGGCTCTGCTGCTATTTGTGTCTTAAAAATTTGCTATATGGTGTCTTAAAAATTTGCTATATGCTATATTGTGTCTTAAAAATTTGCTATACTTATTTAAATACCTACAGCAAATAACAAGGCTTAGTGAATGATGTTTACAACCTTGATACTTTTGAGAACAGTAGTTTTCAGTCTTCCGTTTCCATATTCCCCTCCTCCCCTCACAAATCTATACCCCATGCGTGCATACACACACCTCAGATATGCTGCACATTCCCATTTTTAGTATTGGCTCATTTAAGCAGTGACCTGGAACTGCAGGGAAGGGGCAGCATATCATATAGTGGGGATGAGGTAATTCCCATATTCTCCCTGGAAGAATCACTGCCTCGGAGATGAATAACAAAGCTATTTATGTGACTTTTAAGCAAATTGCCGCCTCTGCATACCTTACCTTATCTGCAAACTGGAAGACATTAGTAAAATGAACAGATGTCCTTTTACTATTTTTCTTCCTTTAAAAAATGGGAGTAAGTAGTAGTAGTGCCTTTTGGGAGTTTAGGAGTAGAAATCCTGGCAGATAAAATTACCTGTCTTCACTTTTTTCTCCAGCACTGCTGTTTGGAAATAAATGAATTGACCAAGAAGTGGATGTTTTTAGGAAAGTCAAGACCAAAAAAAATTGCTTAGTTTCTTAAGACTTGTGGTTAATTATAAGTTAAATTCTGCTGGGGGAGTTGGCGTTTCTGGTGATATCTTCTGTGCCATCGGCCCTCCAGAGACTTTTACTGGGAAAATCTTTACCTGAGTATTTTGTATTGGTGGTCATTGTGTGAACCTGAGAGCATATCCGGTTTTCTTCCACAGCCTGTGGAAAAAGTCTGGGACAAGTTGTTCCATTAAGTGGCTCCTAGTTTTATATAGATTTTTATTGTGGTGAATTGTAAGCCTTTTTAAATGGGAGTATTAACTCCAATTTATTTCTAGGTATTCTGTATGCATTTTCCATATAGGTAAGCTAACTAGACATGAAATCAGTGGTATTTAGATGAGCTAAATGCCCCTACATGGATGCAGTTACATTTAATTTTGCTGATAGTAATGAATGATTTGCTTTAGTGAAGTGCATCAATTCAAATTTTGTAGTTGAATATTATTGAGATTAAATTGGTATTGATTGTGTTATTGCTGCATCCCCCTTCCCACCAACAATGGATAACATTCAGTTCAGTTAGTTCCTGAAGTGGCAGGTTCTTTGAATTACTGCCAAATGTGGATTGGTTTATTAGGTCACTAATTTCTCTTTTCTTTGAATTTGTTTTGAATTACAACCTTTTGAAGATCTGAAGTTCTTATAAGTGAAGGCTGGCTTGCCTTTTTTTTTTTTTTTTTTTTTAAGTTAAACTCTAAAGAAGGTAATCCAGAAGCTTACTGGAATATCCTTTAAAAGAACACCTGTATTTTTTTGGTCCTTTAGCGTAGTCTTCTCTTTAAACATTCAAAGGCGATCACTTACGAAGTTAGTTAGGCTCAGGAATAGAAGTTCTTATGCATACCTCCTAACTTGAAAAATAAGTTCTTCAACAACTTTATTTGAAAATAGTAGGTAAGAGGGTGCTCAGTAAGTTCAGTAGGAATGGTGCATTTTTTAGATTAAACATTAATTATTTGCAGCCTTGGAAGTATGTTCAGTAAATTTGAGGATATGAAATAAAGATAGATACATGAGGCATAAAAAAGGGATTGGTGGGAATTAAAATTCTTGGGATTTTTCTTTTAGCTTATGATATATGTTATGCTATTAACTTTCCTTAAGAAACCGAGGGTTAATCTTTATATTATCGGAGGAATATTGTACCATTACATAGTAGTATTAATATGTATGGTGAGACATAGGTCCTGTTTTCTATTTTTTTCAAGTGGCACTTAAGGGGTGAACTTTAAAGTGTTATCTTTTTAAATTGGCCATGAAAAAATTTATATTCAAAAGTGGAACCTATAATGAACCCCAAAGTACCCATGTCTAGCCTGAACATTTAAAAAGCTTAGTCATTCTTGTTTAACCTATCTACCTTCACAGTTTCTTTGGTAGGAGTGTCAAGAGCAAATTCCAGGTACCTAACATTTTACTCATTGATACTTCCATTGTGTTAGAGTGATAGCTTTTAATGCACGTACAGGACAGACAGCTGTTGCCTCCTTTAAAGCATTTAATAGACCCTAACTCTTTGAGGTGAATCTTTGATTTTGAAATGGTCATTTGAAGCCAAATCTGTTGAAATAAATAAGGTAGGTTGGTGTGAGTTGTGTGTTTGGTCAGTGTTTAAACCAGGTTGATTTATCTTGCCTAATACTGTGCTGAAGGTTATCAAGCATTCAGAATGCTGATATTTTTGTAATATTCATGAAAAAATAATTTTATATGGTAAATTTTATCCAGCATGTAGAGCTGCAAGGGGAGATGAATAAAATAAGGTGTAATTCTTGACGGTTGAAGTGAGTCAGCATGGCAGTTATCTAGTATAAAATATCCTTGAGAGGACACCAGGCGCTACAGTATAAAACTTTAAAAATTTGTTTCTCTGTTATCTATAGGTTATTGGCATAAATGATTTGAATTCACTAGATCTGGCCTACACCCTGGAATAAAAATGTATTTTAACTCACTAGGTGGTTCTCATTGCCTGCTAGGATTGAGAACTCTAGAGAGCTTTCTTCAGCTTAATCCTTTTTTTCTTTTCTCTGACACAGTTGTGCAGTAATTGTGTGTGTGTGTTTTCCTTTCACTTATTATGTACTTACAGGCAAAGTACTTCACTTAGTTTTGGAAGACTTTGAAAGATTGAGTCTTTTTCTTTGTAGAGCTTAAGTAGAGGCAAAAGTACACAAGTTTATCAGGCAAGATTTTAAGTGTATACAGATATAAATAGAAGACTTTAGTGGAAGGAGAATTTTTAATGGCGTAAAGGTGGGAAGAGTAAATGCGGGGTATGTTTTCATGGAGGCAGCAGCATTTAATCTGAGTTTTGATGGACGGGGGAAGATTTTTTGACGTATGGAAATGCAGAGAAGAGGAAAATAAAGAATGGATAAGTTGGAGAATTCTGAGTAAATGTAAACAGTGAAAGGGTTCTGCTTTGGTTATGGTGAGGGGACATAAAAGAGAAAGAAGGTAAGTTGCTGCCAGATCGTCAGGTCGGTCTGGAGGCAGGTGGGAAGCCACTGAATGTCAGGGAGATGGGCTGGTGGAATGGAAGTGGCTGAAACTGCACAGGAGACGGATGAATGCCGAAATATTCCTAATTTTTGTGTACTTGAAAAAAATCATTTGTTCTTAAGTCTGGGCTTCTAAATTTATAAAATAGTACATCAGCCTTTGTTTTATTTTACTGAAGAGCTTGAAAAACTGAGTTGGTATTATTGACCTGCATTCAGGTAGATTAATGTGGCACCAGTTTGTAAGATAGATTGGAAGGCATTTTTCTAATGAGCTCTTAAAATAGTCTAGGCAGAGGAGTAACAAGATTTTCCCATTTGTATTTGTAGTCATATGAATGTATTACTTATCTGAAAATAAATATTTAGTTTAAAAAGGGGATTTTAGGTTTGGGAGTGAGGAAGTTGATCTACAGGGTAGGAGGAGGCAGGAGACAAGTTATGGTTAATCCATCAAAGGGAAAGAAGACTTTTGTTTACAGAAGCATCTGAATACTAAATTTTCTCCTTTACACACAGTGTTGAGCAAGTATTTTCACCTTTACTGCATTTTACTATTACTGCTCCCTGATTGCTTATGGCATCACAGCTGTCTTTCTCATAATCTTAACTACAGGTGCCTAAAGATTTGAGTTTGGTTTCAGCCCTAGTTGAATTTCTTAGATTGGGGAAGGATCCTTTTGTCCCCCTCTATAATATGGGACATACAGGAATGTTTGTAACAATTTAACGTGGTTGTGAGATCCTTTTTTTCCTAGTGACTTACCATTTTAGCATCCGTATTAAGATGCTTGATGTTTCATTAAGTCTGCTTTTATGAGTGCAATAGTAATGAATTTACTTTGGTATTAGTCTGAAAGGTAACTTGTAAAGAATTTATAGAAGGTAAAATTTAACCCCCAGATTTTGTTAGCTTACCACCTGAAAGTGAGGGAAGAACCTCCCATGCTA